AATGTATAATTCTTTACTGGTAGTTGTCTCTATTGAAGAAAACAGACTTAAAAAACTTAAACTGTATCTGTGTTTGCCATTAGTCGGTGTAAACATGTGTTTTTACCAGCACAAAAACGGTCAGCGATCTGAAACCAGGCGCAATTTGATTGAAAAAAGAAAATGAAAAAACGTGTGGAAGCAGTGGAACACTGTTGCTCATAAACAGTTAATTGTTACTCGTTGGTTGACGACTTGTTTTGCTGTTGGCTCCCTCACCAGAGAGAGGCGGCAGCGGAAGACGGATGAGCCTCCCTCGGTCTTCAAGAGGGGGCTGAAGGTGACTCCCCTCCGGTGGGATGCAGAGGAAGCTGCTGGGCGTCCTGTGGGCTCCATGAACCCAGGTTTCCTTTTCCAGAAATTTAACAAGCGCTGCCGTGGGGGGGTCTTTCAGCGTTTTATAGAACCGAACCGCACTAACGTAGAAAAAACAAAAAACAGATAGTAGAAAAAAGACAAGACGTCTCGCTCCGTTTGTCGTTTGTGCAATCTTTGGGTGGCAGGTGTGTATGCATGTGTTCTGCAACATACGGGCGGAAGAAGCGCCCAAGATCAGCGGGGAGCGTTTTCCCCGTCAACAAAGGCGCACAAACGGAGCCCGAACGCCGAACGAGCACGGTGGGGGCGCTGGGCGACAACAGGATGGTGGGTATAGAATAAAAAAAAGGATGGAGCTCTGAGCTCAGCTTCACATGCATCCAATGACAGACTCGAACGTTTACCAGATTATATCGACCGTGGGCCCATATGGATAATTGGAACATTATTTTTGTTATGATTTTTATAAGAATTCTTTAGCCTACTGATTTTTTTTATGATTGTTTTTGCTCCTAGACTGTCCAGGAATTCAACACCCTCGTAGCGCAGTACCGGGAGGAGGTCATATCCGTCGGTGAGATGTCCACCGACTGTCCGGCACTGCGGACTCAGATGCACCGCACGCGGACAAAAGGATGTTCCATGGCCTGGGCTGCGTACCAGGGACTGGCCGTCATCTCCGTCTCAGGGTAAGAGGAGGAGAGGAGATTGTGGAACCAAAACAGTGACTGCTTACACTGACATCGAGGCGATTTGGCATTGGAAATTTTAAACATTGATAGGCCTATTGAAGAAACGAACGTAATAAGTGGAAAAATAAACATTTTTTGTGAAAAGAAAACATTTTACCTGAAAAACAGAAACGGTGACATTGAACATGTATAATCATATTGTCATTTTACCCGGCAGCTTTCAATGTCACTGGTGCTCTTTCAGTTAGGATTCAAGCTGGCACTGGTTTAGCGTCGGGGGCGGGACAAACGGAGAACTCCATCAATTCAATTTCAATTTTTCAATTCAATTTTATTTGGCCACATCACAACAACAGTTGTCTCACAGCGCTTTCCAAACAGAGCAGGTCAGACCCTACTCTGAAGTTAATTACAGAAACCCAACAATTCCCACCATGAGCAAGCACTAGGCGACACAGGCAAGGAAAAACTTCCTTTTAACAGGCAGAAACCTTGAGCAGAACCATGGCTCAGGGTGGGCGGCCATCTGCCACGGCCGGTTGGGGGTGAGGGAAAGAGAGGGCAATAGAGAGAGGGCAAGAGAAGGACAGAGGGAGCAGAGAGAGGCAGCCAACACAGCAACACGTATATTAGATGAAAAATGGCAATGATATCAATATGATAATATTTTATGTTTTTCCGCTCACCTTCTCCGTCAACCTGCACTTCACGATGAAGATCAGTTTAAAACAGTTCTCATGATGACAGTTTAATGTTAAGTAAGCTAGGGGTTAAAGTGAGCTCGAGTTCACCTCTTCTAAATCTAAGTCACCAGTTAACGTATCTTAAAATAAACGTATTAACTAAAAGACGACCAAAACATCTTACCTGAAAGAGCAGTCACTGTTTTTGTTTTTCAGTTAAATTGTTTTCATTGAGAATGTGCAGTTATTTTTGTTAATGATGTTTATTTGATGTTTATCATTTTAAATTGTTCAGTGTTTCATTTTTCAATGCCATTCTTTTATACGATGTCAATGTAAGCTGTCACTGTTTTAGCTCCATAGGGCCAGTGTTATTAGTAACACCAAAGTTATTGGTATGTTTGATTATAATACTGTGTTTCTTGCTCCTCGCATAATACTAACACTTAATATGAAAATGAACTAAAAAAAGTCATTTTGTGAAAATAGTATGGCAATAAGAAAAGTGTAAAGGCAGCAGTTCAGGGTGTTTTCAGCTCCTCATTGTTTTTTTCAGTGAAATGATTAGTGTTAGAAAATGATCATTTCATGGGCGGCGGCACAGTGGTGTGGTGGTTAGCACTGTCGCCTCCCAGCAAGAGGGTTCTGGGTTCCCGGGGGAACCAGGACCTTTCTGGGTGGAGTTTGCATGTTCTCCCTGTGTCTGCGTGGGTTCTCTCCGGGTTCTCCGGCTTCCTCCCACAGTCCAAAAACCTGCATGTTAGGTTGATTGGTGATTGGGGAAATTGCCCTTAGGAGTGAATGTGACTGTGAGTGGTTGTTTGTCCTGTGTGTGGCCCTGCGATGGACTGGCGGACTGTCCAGGGTGTACCCTGCCTCTCGCCCGTTGACCACTGGGATAGGCTCCAGTTCCCCCTGCGACCCCATCAGGGAATAAGCAGTATTGATAATGGATGGATGGAAAATTATAATTTCCTCAGAGAGATTTTTTGTTTAAGGAGCCTTGTAGTCTATAAGTGTGGTTAAGAAAAAAAAGATTATTTTAAATTAATGTTTTGCTGCTGTAGCTGAAAATTATATTCAATCTCCATCAAGTGCGCTTGGAAATTAAAAGAATGGTGGCCGTGCAAAAGGGACTATAAAGAGCCTCAATTATGAGCCATAATTTACCATTGACCATCTTTTGTCCCTTTTTTAAACAAGCCTTGTCCTCTGGGCTTATATTCCTGTTTCCTTTCTTTTTCTTCACATCGCAGGCCGGAAGACGGGGAGATCCAGCCTGAAATCTGCCGACTCTTTATCCAATTGCAGTGCTGCTTGGAGATGTTCATAATGGAGATGGTCAAGTCCATTTGCCTGCTGGGGGTGCTTCACCATCACAAAAAAAGTACCATCACTGAGACAAAATACTCTATATAGTTGTTTTTTATTTATTGAGGAAAATGTTGATAAAGGTATTTTAAGTGTGCTACTGACACCAATTTTTGCATCCTCCAATTTTTCCTCATATATTTATTCTTTAATTTTAAGACAAACATCAGTGTATCAAATTGGCAAATTCTACATCCAATCTCATTTTAAACTGTTCACTGAAATGTTCACTGAATAATTATGGGAGAAAGGTTAGGAGAGTAGGAATGTATTGTTCGCTGTCATCCCAGTGACATAATTGATCTTTCTTTTTTGCTATACTAGATATATCTTTCTGCCTATAGATGAGTATGATGTAACTATACTTACTTATACTCAACCACAATAAATGCCTCTTTTCATTATTTATTAAATAAATATTATATGTGCTTTCAAAAACTTGGAACTTGTATCTATCTGAAGTAAATAATCTTATGGAACTGTAAATCATTGAAATATAATGATGGACATAATATATGATAATATATAATTGAAAAGCCTTAATGATGGCAACATATTTTAGAGGTTTTGCTTTTTTTCAGAAACTGCTAATTCTAAAAATCACCAAAGCATACAGAAAGTTCCACAACTTTCTATTTCAGCTTCTTGAGTAATTTATCTCTTATTGTGATTATATTGCTGTGAGGTTCACATCCCATCATGTTAGAAACAGAATTCAGATCTGAAATATGAATGTAAACTGTCCTTTTCTCTGAGGTGGCCTCTACAATACAAAACATTGGAATGTTAGTTTGATTAAAACTGAACTTAAAACTAAGATACTCAGACTTAAACTGTTCTAAAACTGCCATTTACTGCATTGAAGAAGAAGCTAGTAACACCACAGAATAGCATTAGAGTATATGTAAATAATCCAGCCAGATTCATAATAAAGCTTCTCTCTTTCGCTTAACTTCTTTTTGTCTGACAGTTAAACATGTCATAAAATGGAAATTGAAAGCGGCCCATAATGACTTCATATCAGCTTCTGATTGTTTAAAGCACAGTGACAAATGCCTTAGTACATTCCTGTTTTTTATGGCCAAGAATTACCATGGTTTTGTCTATGTTTTGTTACTTTTATTCTGCCATCCACAACATACTGAACGGGCTCCATTTTCTGCATCAGGTCTTCTTCCAAATGTAATTTTGACAGTGTTTACAGGGGTAGTTTTGTTTTCATGGCTCCTGTACAATCACTCTAAAGCTTATTCATGCTCACATCCTCCTATTCTGGGTGATTATCTACCGCGATGTAGAACCTTAGATTTCCCTAATTTCTGGAATAGCTTGGAAATCCTCCAGCAGTGATACATTGGGGTAACATAAGAAGTTGGATAAGAAAAAGTACAGCTTTCAAAAGTGAACAATTTTATATGGTTTGTTGTACAGTCATGGCCAAAAGTATTGAGAATGACACAAATATTATATTTTCACATGATCTGCTGCCCTCTGGTTTTCATGTGTGTATGTCAGATGTTGTCAACACACAGAAATACAATCAATGCTTGAATTTTATCAGAATTCCTAGGTTTTCGTTTTTCCACCCGTCTGTTGATGATTGACCACAAGTTTTCAATGGGATTAAGATCAGGGGAGTTTTCAGGCCATGGACCCAAAATCTCTATGTTTTGTTCCCTAAACAAGTTAGATATCACCTTTGCTTTATGGCAAGGTGCTCCATCATGCTGGAAAAGGCATTGTTCATCACCAAACTGCTCTTGGACGGTTGGGAAAAGTTGCTCTCGGAGGACATTCTGGTTCCATTCTTTATACATGGCTGTGTTTTTAGGTAAGACTGTGAAAGAGCCGACTCCCTTGGCTGAGAAGCAACCCCACACATGAATGGTTTCAGGATGATTTACAGTTGGCATGAGACAAGACTGGTGGTAGCACTCACCTCGTCTTCTCCGAAGGAGCCGTTTTCCAGATGTCCCAAACAACTGGAAAGGGGATTCATCAGAGAGAATAACTTTACCCCAGCCCTCAGCAGTCCACTCCCTGTATCTTTAGCAGAATATCAGTCTGTCCCTGATGTTTTTCCTGGAGAGAAGTGGCTTCTTTGCTGCCCTCCTTGAGACCAAGCCTTGCTCCAGGAGTCTCGGCCTCACAGTGCGTGCAGATGCACTCACACCTGCCTGCTGCCATTCCTGAGCTAGCTCTGCACTGCTGGTAGCCCGATCCCGCAGCTGAAACACTTTTAAGAGATGGTCCTGGCACTTGCTGGTCTTTCTTGGGCGCCCTGGAGCCTTTTTGGCAACAATGACGTTGAAATGTGTTTTGGGGGATAAAGTTAATTTTCTAGGCAAATATTCACTTTGTAATTAATTGCTGTTACGCTGATCACTCTTTACAAAATTCTGGAGTATATGCAAATTGCCGTTATAAAAACTGAAGCAGTAGACTTTGTAAATATTAACATTTGAATCATTCTCAAAACTTTTGGCCATGACTGTAGACAGAGACCTATAATCAACCCCTATGGATATTTTTTGGGAAAATTCAATTTAAATTATTAAATATCTGCAGATATGTGTTTGCCTACACGTAATAACACTGGTGATCATGCCTTAATCAACAACAAAATATGTTTAATTTTTTAAAGCAACGCATTTTATTCTTTTTATCTGAATGAGTAGAATAAATAGAAATACCACATTTTCTTCAGATGAAAGTATTTGTCTTTTATTTTAACAACAGGGGGCAGTAGTGTCACATATTTGCAGGAAACCATGGCTTCATTTCTGTCTGGTCATTTATTGTATCCTCTTTGTCTGAGCAAGTATAAAGCAAAACTCAGGGAACCAGTTCATCATGCAGACACAAACCATGCCATGCACATTCACCCTTAGGGTCAGTTATCGAAAGCCTAGTAGAGAACACACAAACTCAACAAATAAAATATGCAAAGATGAAAAAAATGAAAAAATGAATAGGCAACTGCAAAAAAACAAAACAAACCTGAAGTAGCTCTTAATGTATTTTTAACACAACTTTGTTTTCTTAAAATAGTTAATCATAGAGGACAGCTTGTGGATACAACTGGAATTCAACAAATACAACAATTATTTTGGGGGGGGGTGGGAACAGGACAGGACTCATTCAATGCTTTTAACATTGAATAAAACTTATTCTAAGTGGTGCCTCTGTTTTGTCCTGTAGGTACAGACTCCGATCAAAAAGTAGAGTTCAGGGCGGATGAGAGCTCAGACGTTCCAATCCTGGAGGATCGATGCTCGTCCCCGATTGACTTCCCTCAGGAGCAGTGGCTTGTCGGAATGGATATTGATAACATAGATAGGTACACCCTCTGTCCATGTTTTTTTTTTTATGCATTTATTTTTTACATATTTACGAAAGACAAATTCACACGATTTGTAAACCCAGATGTGTTAATTTGATGTGTCTTTGCTTGAACAGAGATATGAGAGAAATGCGTAACCTACTCAGCAAACTCAGGGAGGCAATGCCATTACCACTGAAAAATCAAGGTAATTCTCGCATGTAACAGCGAGGGGGGGGAGCGTCTGATTAAAACAAGCAACAAGAAAAAAACTAAAAATGAATGACATCTCAGCTTTATTTATAGTCACAGTACTTACTCTGTCTTTGTTTTGTTTTTTTGCATTTCTTTTTTCTTTCTGTTTTCACGTGGTTCTCATGACTGTATGCAGAATTGTAATCTGAATATGATTTTATGCCAAACGTTTTTGCTTTATCAAAGGAAGTTTATGGGTTAAAAGCCCAAAAAGCCATGATTTTACAGTACTGCTTGTATAATTATTTTTGTTACAATTATTTACATGCAATGAATAAAGTCAAACCTGGCAAGGGGACAGGGTAAAAGGGAGAGCAAATAATAAGAAATAAGATACAAATAGAAATTGATCTTTATAGGAAAAATGATGGCAAAAACATCCACCAGTTGCTACATTTTAAGAAAACAGGGATCATCTTTGGAAATCTAGGCGGAGACATGTTAGTCTCCTCAACCATAAAAGTGTCACAAGGACCCTAAGGGTATAGAAAAGTGATAAGACTGAGTGAAATGAGACTAAGATATAAGATATTAGATATAACGTATTTTAGTACTCCTATAAGTATTTGTGCCACAGTGGCTAACTTAATTAAGTTAAAATGGGTTATTTTTTTCAATAAATTATGATTTTAGGATTGTGAGGCCAAGTTGTTTAACAGCAGACTTTTAACATTTATCTTGCAGCCGTTCAACTGCGTCTAGAAGATTATTAACTAAATCCACATAAATACTTTTTTATTTTTTCATCTAGCAAACAGTTTTCCATGCTGACCTTTGATCCTCAGTTCCTCCTTCGTTCTTGGCATTTGGATGAGGACTGAGAGTTGTTGCCATTTTTAAAATGTTACAAATAAACCATTCAATATGGCAAAATGGAAGTCTTATTAACCATCTTATTAAATCAGTTCCAGCTTCCACTATACATTTTTAATTCTATAATTAGATTAAATACATTTTAATGGATATTTATTAAGAAATATTACAGGAATACAAAGAAGTATTCACTTATCTATACAAAAACACCAATTATACCTAAAATGTCATGTGGGGGGTCTTGAAGGGAGGACTCAGTTGCGGAGATGAGGGAAAACAAGGTTTATTGTAACAAAAGATCAGAGTCCAGACAAAGTACAAAGCAAAGCTGTGGAAAACTGAGCAAAGTAACAAAGCAATAAGCAAACAAGACTGAGGCAAAGTAACAAAATAATGATTGACAAAACTGTGACAAGACTGTGACTATGGCAAAAAAAGACTATGGCAAAACAAACCTGGCGTGGGGGTGACGAAGGACAGGACGGACAAGAGGACAAGAGACGAAAACGCACTCGCACAAGACAAGGGGAAACGAGGACTATTTAAACACATGAGGGGAACCCCAGGTGTACACAATGGGTAATCATGACATGACGAGACACCAGACGTGACAGAGCCCCCCCCTTAAGGGACGGCTCCCAGACGGCCCTAAAAACACACGAGGACCACGGGAGGGTGGGGAGGGGGATCAGGAACAGAGGGAACACACACAAGGCGTGGAACCGGACTGGACTGTGGGACTTGACGTGGTGCTTGGCTTGGGACAAGGCTGGGGACGTGGCTAAGGACATGACTGGGGACGTGGCGAGGGACATGGCTGGGGACAGGACGAGGGACATGGCTGGGGACAGG